ATATATACGAAGAGAAATAAGAAAAGAAGAATGGTCAAATCGAGTATCAAAGAATAGTCCTGTCTCGTGAATCATTTATCGAGCACACTCGTATTCCGCTCACAGTGAATTCCTGTAATTTCTTCTACCAGGACCTTCGTTGTTCATTAATTTTCAATAAGTCACAGAGAGAAAAGAACATTTTATTTATACGGAATAGGAAAAGGGAAAAAAAGGGGAGAAAAGAAATACCAAACGTTAAATGAAATTTTATCGGGATATTTCTTCGAACATCTACCATTATTAAAAATATATATATATATAAAATGAAATATGACATTTTCTCTAAGAAATTCGACGATATATTACGTGATCTAACACAAAAAAATATATTAATAAATAAATAAATAAATAAATATTAAAAAATAAAAGTCAATGAAAACATTTTTGACCAACTAATATTACATGTGTGTGTGTGTGTTGTGTGTGTACAACAAAATTTAATATGTATTTTATATTAATTATATTATATTAATTAAATTACACACAATATATTAAAGAAAGAAAATAATAATAATAAGAAGAAGAAGAAGAAGAAGAAGAAAAATAATAATAGTTTATAACGAATATAGATCTTTAGAAAATCATAAAAATTAGGAAGAAAAGGGGATTAAACGGGAACTGAGGGGTAGATAGAGAGAGAGGTATAAAGAGGATCATAAAATCTTATCGTTATCTTGACACATATAATTCTATGGTGTTTTTTTTTAATCGACGGATACAATTTTTATCTTTCTCATTCATTCATTTGTTTTTTTTTTAATCCCCCGAACGGAATAATAAACTCGTATATTCCATAAAAATTGATGCCACCCGTTAGAAAGGGTCGGACATTCATTATTTTCTTCTCTTCTCAAAGGCGATCTTAACGATCGTTAATAAATATATGGGGGGGATTCCCCCCCCGCCCCACCGAGTACCCGATAAGATTATTCTTTGAATCGTTTTTGAGAACAGCAGGAAGAAAAAAAGATAGAAAGGGAGAGGAATAACCAAAAAATAAAAAAAAAAAAGAAAAATAAGAAACCAAAAGAAAAAAATCGGTTGGATAGTTAGAAACGTTGGGAGTCCCGACCTTTCACGATAGAGGATCGATTTTGGTTTTAATACCAGCAAAAAACTAGTTCTGCTTTTCTTTTTCACCCTTATATATATCCCTACTCCTAACCCTAACCCTACCCCTACCCCTACCCCTACCTAAACCCCACCCCTCGATACCAAGAACTATTAAATTTATAGCTTTTCCCTCGTCGAACTAAAAGATGAAAGAGAGCAAGAGAGAGAGAGAGAGAGAGAGAGAGAGAGAGAGAGAGAGAGAGAGAGAGAAAGAGAGAGAGATGATAAACCGTATAATAAGCGTCGGCTAAGATAACGGGTGACGCATAAATTTTACGACTCCAAGATAGATAGATAAATATATATTATGGGAAAGTTTGTTTTATTTTTAAACTCGTTTGGCATCGAGTTAGACAAAATGAAATAATCTATATTCGTATCGTTAAATGTTTCCTTTTTTTTTTCTTACTGACCGCCACCCCCAGTTTCCTCATCCTCCATCATCTCCACTTATTCTCCCATATGAAATTGAAATACCATAATATTTGAAGAAATTTATCGACTATTATTCGTTAATAATTTGAGCTGACGCATGTTATGCGCACTTTGATGATGATGATGATGATGATGAGCCTAGAAAAAATTAAATGCATGTGCGAACTCTGATGGACAATGGGGTAAGGATAAATTGGGCGCATATATGCGTTTTGTGAGACGAATCGGTTTCTAGACGAGTCAATTAAATGTGAATATTATGATATCCATATAAAAATACAAATAATAAATAAGAGAAGGTTGGATAGTTAAAATAAAAAAAAAAGGGTTAAATGAAATAATTAAAAAAAAAAAACAAATAATATTATAACGGAGGGGAGAAAAAGAGAGAATTCGATTAAATATTTGAAATTTAACGAATATCGTTATGCGAACGTTTCGTGAAAA